GAGCGTGATCCTGTCTTGGTCTGTCTCATTTTGATTTGTTTCATCAAGTTAAATTTCTGGATCAGAGGAATTTGGCCATGAAAAGAGTGATGCTATACAGAAGCCGTTCGCTCATTCGTGTCTTTCTCTCCGTATGTGCGCGCACACACACTCACATACTATTTAAATGACACCATCCTTATCCCTTCAGTCCACTTCGAACAGCAATGCAATGATCAAAGATAGGTTGCCGTAAAGCTTTAAACAATCTTCCGATAGACAAATCTCTGCCTGTTCTAGCAATGGCTTAGTTGAATAGGAAACCCTCACGCAGGAAGCAAAGAATGGAGAGATGCTCATCACCTGGTGAGGCGGCTCCTTGGATACATCAGACGGAGAACTTCAAGCTCGCGCGCGAGTCGGTCAAGAAAGTCCAATCCCAAGTAGTTAGGGATCATGACCCTGGCCACCATAGTAATAATTCTCCGCTTGAGAGATCAACTGGCGGTTAAGCCTTGGCTCCACACGACCGGGGGGGGGGGCGAGGTCAGAGATCACTGGGTGTTGGTTGGCGTTTTACAAAACGAAGCTGAGAGATCTGGAGTTAATTTCCATCATAGGTAGGCCAGCTTGGATCTTGCGGGCTCAGGCGGCTTTCAAGCCTGGTTGATCTACGTCAGACTCGAAGACGGATACCTGGAAAGCGGTCTCCTCGTACATAACGAGTACCTCTATACCGTCATCTGTCTTGGATTTTCACCATGAAGGTCGTACAGAGAGGCAATGGAAATCCTGGTAATCCTCCTTTCTAGATAGAGTACAGTACAAGATGTGACTCTAGTTCTCGTGGAATGATGGCTTGTTTGCTTCTCCGATACCGAAGTAGTAAGTTCGTGCCCACGAACGAACTTCTAGCTATATTCTCCGCCGTATAGAATCGCTGGTCGGCCTTTGGAGCAGTATCTAACTGCTCCGCACGATCCGAATGGGGAGATCCATGCCCACTACGGAGTACTTGGAACTATGAACGGAGGCGCGCGTACCATCAATCTAGTGATCTTGGTGGATCGATGGAGACGGTGAGAGGCATGAACTGCCACCTTCTGGACTATCAGGACTTCATCTGAGTTGTTCTTTACTCCGTAGGCTCTGTCTTTTTGCATTTCCCGCTCTCTTCTCTTTTTTTTTTTCTTAAAAATTGCCTCATCAATTGAATCCGGGTCCAGACGAATCGGTGTAAGTCACAACCCGGATTTCAGGCGCGTTCAGGCGCAAGGGCAATGAACAACGGTGACCGGCAAGAGCGAGAATCTGGGGAGAAGGACGAAAAAAGTGACTCCAGGCCTCACCGCTGGTTTCATCGCGATGAGAATGACATCGAGAGTCTGATTTGGGCAAGAAGGGGATCAAAGGGAGGGGTGAGGAAGACTGTCATTTGACTGACAAGCCCTATCATTCCAGCTAACCATGCTCGGCTGATGGCGCCAGGGCTGATGATAGGCCCGGGAAGCTTCTTCCTGCACTGGCTGCAGCACCTCCTCGCAACCCCTTGCGTGTAGATAGTGGAGAAGAGGTGCAGCGATTATGTCCCACTTGGGCGGCCCAACCCCACCTTCTTCTGTTGTTGTTGCTGCTTGCTGTTCGGTCACTTGCCTATGAATTAGTCTCGACGGACTCAGAGGTACGGATAGCGCGCCTCCATTGTTCGGACAAGGTCTTGTCTTTCTCTTGTTTCCTTCCTGCCTTCTTTCCCTCTTTCTTTCTTTCTTCCCTTCCTCCCTCCATGATTTGCGGTGGTGGGAGAAATGAGAAATGAAGCTGACAGGTCAGGGAAGAATGTCGTACAGGAAGTTGATGAGAAGATGTGGTAGGTGTGGTGGTGGCGGTGGTGGAGGTGTAGAGATGACAAAGGGGAGGGAGGGAGGGGGATGCCCTTCCCACTGAAAGCTCTCACGTTCACGTTCTTTCTTCTCTACCTCGAGAATCTAACTGAATCTTTATTGTTGCTCTCTTCTTACCGTTAAGCGCGTCTACCAAATTAGCTTTGCACTTCCTTCTCGAACGTTCCAGATAATTGTAAACATTCCAATGTTTCTCTCTTCTGTCGAGTCTGTTGCTGCCTCGTGCTCATGTGCTCGATCTCGACTGCTGATTACCGAAATAGAGAAGACATCATCCAGCATAGCACATGCTTCAGCTTAGATCCAAGTCAAAACATGGCCTTCCTGCCGGTAGTTATGCAGGTATAGGGCAGAGGTGAGCTTCACTGTATGCACATCAAAAAAGCACAATGCGCTGCGCGGTCCGTGTTGAGTCTGACACGAACTATGGACGATGTGTGGGATGAAGAGGATGATCCAGTGGAGGTAAGTCCAGGGCTAAAATTATGATCGGCCTGTGGATGTCAACTACAGTCTATATTGTACTGTACTTCCTACACTGACAATTTGGCTACAACCCTGTCAATTTTTCTTAGACTAGGTTCGGGAGACAGCTGAGAATTAAGATGACCATGAAAGACCATCGGACCCCGATTGGCATTCCGTGTCAGGTATTATCTCAAGTACGGGGTAGACATAAAATAATGAGACAAGAAAAGGCCGGGAGGCAATTAAGAGGAAAAGGAAGGGGAGTCCGCTACGGACGGGCCGACTCCCGCAGCCGTCGTACATCCATCCATACATACATACATACCAACTTAGGTACAGTACCTACCTGCGGGGTCCAAGTGAATATCTAGGTATGTACTCATGTGTAGGTATACTTCAATATCATCATACTTTCCCGAATCGGAGATTTGGCCTGCGTAGGACAAGATACAGATAGGAGATAGCAATATCAGTCCTAATTGAGAATCACTCTTGCCCAACAACATAACAAAAGAGAGAGAGGAAAATGAATAAGAACAGGATAAGGGGTGCAGAACAACACTCATCACCAATTCAGGGGATCCGGTCGGAGTTACAGGGGGAATTCAACCATACGCAAGCATACAGTAGGTACTCCAGTACGGAGTACCTGTACACTATACACTAGTAGGTAAGTTACCTAATGTTAGGTAGTGTTAAAGCAAACCAGTCTGACCACAACTTTTTTCCCAGTTGGCATCATTATCATTAGTACAGAATATTATTCTATCTTCCCAGTTCCCACCGTCGGCGGTCCAGCCCAGGGATCATGGATGGCTCTGCGCTAAATCTGCGCCTGATCAAGCTTGGGGGCTTTTTTAGTTCATTTAGTTCGGTCCATTTAGCTTGGTGGGCTAAAGATTTCCTTCCAGTGCACACCAATCACCCATTATTGCTTCCGATCCCCACCATTCATTCATCTCCCTCCTCCTCCCTCCCCCCTCTCCCCTCCCCCCCACTTCATCAGAAATACCAATCAGCCGGACAGTTGACAACTGACAATTCACCCATTGACACTGACACACTGACACACTGACAGAAAAGAAGACTAATAGACTAGCGGCTCACTAAAAAGTGAACGGACCCAACGGAGTCAACCGCCGGCCCCTTCAGCAACCGGGCCTATCCCTGCCACGCTAGGACGAACTGCGTAAATGCACGGGGATCAAATCAGATCAATCACGGCCGGGGATCGCGCGCCGCTTCGCTCATTCGATGCACCATTCAGGACGAAAAGGCTTGGGGCTGATTCGTGATGACCGGTCCGGCTGTGTCTCGCTCTCCTCGAAGGTGAGGACTGAGGAATTACTCCGGGTGCAGATGTGGGGAACGAGTTCGACTCATTCGATGCTGTCCTCCTATGAGTGGGTACACTCTAGTACGATAGTCCGAGGATTCTTTCACTCAGGGCTTTCACAATTAATCTCCTTCCTGGGATGGAGCATTGAGTCGATTCAGTCGGACTGGTCACTGGCGTATGTATGGACTATGAACTATTACTAACGAACTTTTGGGAAGGTTGCGCTGGGCTGCCATGATTTTACCTGTCAAATCCTCGGCTGTACCTGCAGCTGCCATGCAAGCGCAAGCAACGAACCACCCTTCCAGGTTGCCTCGCATCTAGTCTAAGAATTCTTCAGCTGTCTGACAATTCTTCTCCGTACCCTACAGACTTCCAGCCGGATGCACAACAGTGCAGCTCCGACGATGACTAGCACGGGTGGGGGGAATTTGACCGGGAGCTCCGACCTTCTCCTTCCTTCCTCCCTCCCTCATCCTCCATCCGCCCATCCGGGGCCGCGAGGGTTCGAGCCGAGGCCATCGATAACAACTAGCGACTAATAACCCCCCTCACCGTCTGAAGACCCCTGGGGGGCAAAGACAAATCTCCGTCTGCAGTGCGACCTATGCATTAACTTGGTGATAGGCGATGCGGGAATAACCGATCAAGGAACATATTCCATCTGAATTCTTTGTTCCGACCGGACAATTTGCACCACCACCACATCATTCTCGTCATCATCAATCGCATGGTCAACTTCGAGCACTGTACTGTACTCTCCGGTCTCAGAAGACACGAATACCGTGCGGATCATCAAGTCGAGAAGGGTTAGGGAATGGCCCCCAAGGACAACAGCTCCGAGCAGGGACTAATTTTACTCCATTCGTCCACTGGCCGGCGCTTACAATACCTGATTTCGCGCAGGGATTCGATGACCGGAATGTTAGGCGGTTTTTGCAATGATACGGTGGCCTACTTCGGCGATTGGTTCTACTGATTGAGTATTCCTCCTGCCCTTTCCGTATTTGTTCGGCACTTGTCGAAGCCGCGCAGAAGAAGTCCTCGATCACGGCGACCGACCATAACAACCCAGCTCAGACCGAGTCGCTTCCTTCGTCCATCCGTGTCCGACTACGACGGCCGTCATGGCCATAACTAATGGGCCAATCAAGGATCGCCGATGGGCTTAAGATATGTTTCTACTGTTCTTTGGGGCAAGGTGGGTAAATCCTTCATCATCTGATGGCCCGAAGTCGCTTTTCGGTGGTGGAGGGCGGGCTGCACGCAGTAATTAACCTTACATTGCATGTTCCGGCGAGTTACCCGTGCACGATCGACTGCGCAGGTGGACTGCCTTGCGTTAGATTAGTGGAGGACCAGGAAATTGCGGATGTGGAATCCTGCTCGCCATCTTCTGGCTCACTGACTTTCTTTCTTTCTTTCTTTCTTTCTTTTTGTGGTCTCTTTCCCAGATGCCAAAATTAAATTTGCAAAACAAGATATGCTTACTACCTACTCTGGTAATTCTGAGCGATCTGGATTCAATACACAGGGGGCCTTACCTGAGCCAATTGCGACCTTTCGATCCAGAATATTGTACGGCATGTTACGATGGCATCATCCCATACCTTAAGCAGAGGGTGTCACAGACACACTGAGAGGTACGACACAGACATGGTGGCGATGGTTGGCCACCGGGCTGAGGATCCATGTCCCCGCGACACGGACCCCTTCTCCTCTTCCCTCTCTCCCCTCCCCCCGGTTAATCATCCAAGAACAGTATTTGAGCTACCTATATTAGGGGACATTAAAGATCTCTCCCGGATTGGCCAAGCTGGTTCATGCATTGATTGGCAGCAGAAGCAACCACGTATGTGCTGGCAGGACATCTACCAACTCTTTCTCTCCCTCCATCTGCTATATTCGCCTTGTATTTTTTGTTTTCTTTCTTTTTGTATTTTCCGTCGCTCTTTTTTTTTTTTCTTTCTTTTCCCTCTTTCATCTCTTGCTTTGCGCCCGTCTACCGTTGATGCCGCCAGCCGGAGAACATGGCTGGCTGTTGCAGTGCCTTCAAATGAAGACCTCGATTGACTGACTGGCTGACTGACTGGCTGACCGCTTCTCTCCTCTGCCATCCTTGCCGCTCCTCGCGCGTCTGTGCCAGGGTCAGTTTCAGCTGCAACGACCCGTGATGCATTTGCGGACGCAGGGTTGGGTTGGCCGTTTTGCGAGGACAAGTCGCTAGCATACCCGGAGATGGTGCTGGGGATGTCGTTTCTGTACTCCCCCGCTGGGATTCTTTTGATCTCTCTAGTTTTATTACCCTTTGCACAACTGTCGAGGATTGAGCTACAGCACGTAGTGTAGTAGTGTGTGCACATTCCAAGGTGACATACATATGTATGTCACTTCCATAGCGGCCGATCCACGGCCCCTCTCTGGGAGGGGACGATCTGCCCCTAATTATAGCTTGTCCAGCTGATCAATGGTGGTTGAAGTCGACCATCCATCAGCCATTCATCCTTCCATCCCTTGATCACACCACTGGCCACCCACCCAGCCACACATTTGCCTCGCTTCACCGTCTTTCCGCTGCTGTTGCTGCTGCTGCCGCCGCCGCCGCCCTGGAATGCGTGCGTTGTGCGCCGTGGAGCAGGATTGATTGGAGGTACGAGATAATGGCGAAGGGGATGTCCCTGTTTGTCAATTGCCATCCTAGCACTCATTCTGATTGGATAAAGATTCAGGGAGTGAGGTGGTGTCGCGCTGCGATGCGATGTACTGTAACTTTATTGCTATCTGGGAAACGATTGCGTCGGTGCTGCCCGCGGTCAGTGATATATACAATCACAGCTGTATGCGTTTGAGTAGAGAGGTTGTAGTTAGTAGTAGTTATTTTTCTGTAATTGTCGTCTCACAATCAGGATAGATTGAGTCCATATTAAGGAAATATATGCTCTGAAGAGGTTAATGGATGATTTAGCACCCATTCTCCTTACCTCAGTAACAAGTAGGCCAAAAGTGATTCCCATCGTACAGTAAGATAGCATAGATAAGTACTCCGTACTGTAGACCATAAAGACGATAAAGACCGGGCTAGCTTATCGATAAGCCACCGTCAATCATCACATGACTCCATCCCCTCCCTCCGCCTACGCAACCGTACCTAATCCATGGATCGTAAACAAAAAACATTCCACCCGAACTTGTCTGAAACCTCCGACACCCAATCGACAAACCACAAAGTCTAAACGACAAAAGCTTCCAGCCCCCTCCCACTCAGAAACCCGACAGACATACCCCACGCGTACCTGATCTTGCAGACCGAATCTAGCCAGTCTGCGCCATCCCCCGGGAGTTGGAAAAAACCCCCGAAAGCGCAAGGGAGAGAGGGGGAGCCCTCCAAATACAGAACAGAAGAGAAGAAACAATGCCACCACCACCACCTCCCACGAAACCCACGAAACCCACATTCAACCCAAACCCACAACCGCGAGCCCGCCTCTTCGACGTCTTCAACTCCGCCTCGACGGGTCATCAGGTTGCCGATGGCGGCGGCGCCCGCGGGCGCGAATGGCGGATCACCCGGCAGGAGAAACTGGCGCGGCAGTTTGGGTCGAGGGATGGGGATTGCACTTCTTCGCCTGCTTTGACACCTGCTGCAGCTGCTGCAGTGGAGGGGATGGGAAATGGTAGTGGGGAGGAGGAGGCCGGGAGGGGAGAGTGGGTGTTTGCTGCTACTGCTGCTCATTCCGGCTCTGTTTGCTCTGGGAACAAAAACAACAGCAACAGCAACCACTCCAACAACATCGGCGCGGGGTCACAGTTTGGTGCTGCTCAGCAGCACTCGCATTTGCGCTCGTCGCATAATGGGCCGAGACAGGTCCAATGGGGGGTTCGGGCTTCCTCCTCATCGGCATCGACGGGTCAGATGGATATACGAAATATGCTTGGTGGGCAGGTTCGCAAACGAGGATTCCCTGGGGGTGTGAGTGATGACAGTGGGGGTGGTGAGTCGGGTGCGATTGGGATGAAGAAAGCGAAGGTGCAGACGGGGTATAGCCCTGACTGGGCTACAGAGATAGCACCACCAGCAGCGGCAGCAGTAACGACGACAACAGCAACAGAAGGAGCTGTAGCTGCGCCGGCCCTAATAACCACCTCCTTCAAATCTCATCCCGCAACTACACCTACACCTACACCTTCTATCACCTCGACGACCACGACCACGATCAAAAGCCCAACAACACAAACGTCCCCCTCAACGACATCTGCAACGACCCCATCTACCTCATGCCAAACTATACCGCCATCCCTTCATACCGATCCCATGAACAACAAAAAGATCTTCACCTCCCTCACCATCCACATCAACGGCCAAACCACCCCTCTCATCTCGGACCACGCTCTCAAGCGCCTCCTAGTCTCCCAAGGAGCCACCCTCAGCCTCTCCCTCTCGCGGAAGATCACGCATGTCATCATCGGAGTCCCCAATGCAGGACCGGGCAGCGGCGGCGCGGGAGGTGGACTCGCCGCTACCAAGATCCAGAAGGAGCTCCAGCGCGGAGGATGGAAGGGAGTGAAGATTGTGGGGGTCCAATGGTAAGCTTGCTTCCCTCACCTCCCCTTTCCGTTCCTCGCATATGCCACTTTGTCTTTCGAACGGGGGAACCCGAGTTAGCAAAGGTGTGAGCAGTAAGTGAGCTAGGTAAAGAGGAAATACCCGTGCTGATTGAGAGAAAATGAAATAGGGCTTTGGATAGTATCAAGGCTGGGAAGCGGCTCTCAGAAGGTAGATATGCGGTTCAATTACGAGGGAGGCAGAGGAGTGTGCTTGGGTTCTGCTCCCCGTCATCTGCAGAGGGCTTATGATGCATGCATACACGATTGCTCCTGCAAGACATTCATAGATTCGCATTGACTGCGACTCCATTGACCACTTGACTTCGAAAGATACCCCCGTGCAATATACGCCCCATCCTTATCGGGCCATACATTTGCGCAAGCTTATCACGATAATACCTTAATCTCAACAAGGATCAAATACATACACATACATACATTAATATATCCAAATCTTCATATATACATTATTGAGTTCATCAGTCATCATTTATATCGTATATCATACCATTTGGCTCGGTTCCTAGATAAATGCCCCCTTCTTCCCTGGAAGACCTCCACTCCCTCCGCCACTGCTCCGTCCTGATTGATGTCTCCGCCAGCCCTCGCTGCTACCACCCCCTATGCCGCTCCCGCGGGTCGGCGGGGACGACACGAATGTTCCTGCGCTACTATCGGACTCGCGTCGTAACCCCGCCATTCCGATTGGCGCGTATGGATCAGCCAGCGGTTCTTCGTCGGGCAGAGGGGGCAGCGGGTTCACGCGCAGTCGCGCCGGATACAGTGATTCGCTGGAGAATATGCGATGCGACTCAAGGGAGTCGGCTCGGTGAGATTGACCCGATGGCAACGGGTCCGGTCCGTCGTTCCAAATATCGTCGTCATCATAAGCACTACCCAGGGCCTTCTCGTCCAGGTCATCTGATCTCGAATCCCCTCGCACCAGGCCAAGGCGCTCTTCTTCGGTTGCGCCCGACGAGCGGTGATAGTGGTGATGGAGCCCACTCTGCCGTGAAACAGGACGAGCGGCGACAGGTTCGGGGCTACTGGCTTTCTTTCGACCGAGGACACTGGTGAACGAAAATTGGCGTTCAGCGCCTCCGTGCGGAGGGGGGCTCGGGGGAAGAGTATGATTGTCATTCTCAGTGTCGACCGCAGACCTGATGGAACGGCCGTCGCGGCCGGCATAGTGAGTATCGGGGTATTTGCGGTTTGATTCCATAGCCTTCAGCGACACGGGATCGGCGTCCGAGAGATGCAACGGCTCTTTGTGTATCGGTTGCCACGTCGGATGGAAGATACTGTTCGCGCGCGAGCGGAGGTCATCTAGGAATGAATTATTGCTCTGTGTCGTAGTCGGTCGGGGCGGTTCATCGTCCTCCTCGTCCTCGCATTTCTGCTCCTCCGGCACGCGGGCCATACCCAGCGGTGGAAATGGATGGTGACGGACGGATGGGGTGCGTGTGCGCGCTGCCATGGTGGGACCCTCGCCGAGCACGGTCTTGCGCCGGCGCAGTCCATCCCATTCAACGATTTCATTCTCGGCCAGCGGAGTGCGTAGATCCTCCTGGCGGTCGTGATAATAGCGGCGGGCTTCTTCAGCCTCCATGGTCCGGCGGGGGGTAGAAATGCGGCGGATGATGGCCGCGGCGCCGCGGATGGAGTCAGCCTTGGGCTCGAATTCGTGTTCTTCCTGCGTCGCAACCTCGCGGACCTGGTCCAAATCGCCCTTGAAAACGGCAGCATCGGGGACATCTTTGGCAGATTTGGATAGCTGCAGCAAGACCACACCTGCGCAGATCTGTAGGAACCCGAGGACGACGGTGACGATGTCTTTGACAGAGCCGTGGAAGCCCTGGAACAAAACAGCGGAGGTGACGATGGTTGCGCTGGTGAAGAAGACGTAGTAGGTCGGAGTCACGAGGGCCGCGTTGAAGATATTCAGTGCTTTCTGTATTCGGTCAGCAGACATTCATCCCAGGCAGGTGGGTGGAAGGAAGAGCACACACATTTAGATAAATGATCTCTGTCAGGAGCGTGGCTACCACAAACACTAACAGAACATACAAGAACCATTCCTTGAACTGCGACTCCCCATTGATCTGCGCCAGAATGGCCGAGCCCAGCCCCTGTGTCGCAACGACGCTCAGCCCCCCAATCAGCGAGCAGATACTGAGATACACGAACATGGACTTCTTCCCGTATCGCGGCCCCAGATACAGGGCGACGAAAGTACACCCGACGATGATCACTCCCGCATAGGACAGAAACCCGGGGGTGATCACATAGTGTTTCATCTCCTGGATATCGCTCACGGACGACTGCTCGGGCGCATTGAGCGGGATCACCACGGAGCCAAGAATGCAGCAGAAACAACCGACCTTCCCGACGAAGCTGAGGCGTTCCTTGAGGAAGATGGCGGAGAGGATGGTGCACACGACGACGGTGAGCGCGCCCAGCGGGGTTACCAGGATCGCATCCACAAACGCATAGGCTACGAAATTGCAGATCTCGCCGACGATCATGAGGGTCATTCCCCCCCACCAGTACAGGTTCTTGAGGTAGCCATAACCCTCGCCGGCCTCTTCGTTGTATTTGACATTGGCGCGGAGGAGGCCGATCTTCTTGAGGACGAAAGAGGTGCCGATGAAGAAGCCGGAAGCGACGGCGAGGCAGATCCCGACGATTTTGTAGGAGGCGGGTCGCGAGGATGAGGAGGACGAGGCGGCGGAAGTAGTGGTTTCTCGTGCAGCCAAAAGGGCGGCTGTGGTGGTGTAGTTGTAGAGCGCTGTCATCGCTGCGGCGGTTGTCGTGGCAGCCATGACGATCGAGAAGAGGGGAGGGGTGAAAGATAAGGGAATGGGAAAGGAAGTGGTTCAGAGCGGAGAGAACCGTGGTTACATGGAGAAGGAGATGGTGAGAGAGAGGTGATTTGATGAAGACACACTGCCGGCAGTGAATGACTGAAATGGTGAATGGTGGTACCTAGTCAGCACACAACCCCCTTTTCTTTTTTTTTCTTTTTTCTTTTTCTTTTCCAATTGATCTTGTACTTTTCGTATGTCTGGGTTTCAGGCTGAGGTTGGGAGAAGGAAGGAGATCGGGGCGGAAAAGAAAGATTGATCGAGTATAATTAGACGGCGCTAAAGACCGTGGGAAAGACCGTGGGCAAGACGGTGGCTGAGTTGCGACAACACGGGAATGTGGAGTGAGCCGGTGGGTTGGAATGTGTCAGGTTGATAACATAAACACTCTAATCTACTGTACTTTCGAACGACAGAGCAGTAGCGAGGTAGTAAGTAAGAGCAAGTGATTAAGTTCAAGTTGTAGTAATGTCTCCGTAGATGTAAGTTCAGTTTGTGGTGTGAGTGTCTCAGTGTATAGAGTAAAATAGGGCTGCCAGGAAATAATAATAATAAACAGAGAGGCTGGTTGAACTGCACGTGCGGCGGGTCTTCTTCCCTGTAAAGTACTGGTACGTACCTTATTTACAAATTACAGTACATCACATCTCAACCCTTGACCATATAATTCATTCATATATTGAAAAGAAAAGGAAATTCATTCACTCATTAATTAGGGTATCCTTCAGTTCAATATCACCAAGTCCTCAATCAAACTCCTCCGGCCATCCTTCCTCCACTATGCTTACGGGACTTCTTCTCTCGTGGGTATCCTGACGCCATAACTTCAGCCCCTCTTTCTCCATCCCATAGAGTATTAAGCAGATCATATCATAGCATCATTTCCTCATCGAACATGATAGCTCGGTTTCCGCTGCTTGTTCACCACGGGAGGTTCATCCATAGGATATGGCGGTCGGGTCTTCCCGCCTGCCCCCGGATATCCGTGGCCACTATTCGTCGTTGTCGGAGGCATCACTGTCGGCATCGGCATGGGAATCCCCCCAAGTTCACTGGGATGGTCAGGATAAGGGATGGGGGTCTTTGGCGGCACGGGTGGAGGCATTTCTTCCCCGTTCTGATGCGAGGGTAGCTCAAAACTAGGCCGCGAAGATCCATGGGGACTCGGACTGGCCAGGTCACTGCCCGAGCCACGCGCCGGGGACCCCAGAACGGCATCGTGCGGTGTCGGGTGCGCGGGGAGTGTGTCATCGGTCGCCGTCAACGGTCGTAAAACAAAATCGCCGGGCAACTCGGCAGGCAATTCCACCGCCATCGGATGGGGCAACGGAGGCTGCACCGACAGGACGGGACTGCCCAGGATGGAACTGGTCTCCTCGCCTGCGTCATTTCCTCCAGTCACCGCCGCATGGTCGGCCAGACGTCGATGCTGTCGATTAATCTTGGCAAATTTGACTCCTGCATCGAGGATCTGTCGCTTCACCTCCGGTCGAGTCAAATAACGCCTTGTATTGGTGCTGATGTCCGCCAGGCGATTCCACTCGTTCATCCCAAACTCGCCCACCCCGACCTCAACATTCAATCGGTAATAATTATCCTGGCTCACGTTGCGCTTCGAAAGATGGTCGCGCAGCATGGCCACATGAATATCTTCACAGCCCTCGATTTTGGCGATCAGTCGCCGACGTGCCTCCGCGAAAGAGCCCAGCGCATCCCCGAAGAAATCTTCCCACCACTCGTGCTGGCGGTTGTTCGTGCCGGGCGGTCGCTTGCCGGTGCCGACGCTGACGAATACACCCACCTCACGGCCTGGCCACTCGTTCACCGTCGCTTCGTCCAATACCTGCGGCGCCGGATTGTAGGTGCCGGCCCCTTCATCGATGAACACGTGCTGGCCGATCTGGATCGGCTTGAAAGCCATCCCGGTGGCCGAGGTGGCCCGACCGGCCTGCCAGACTGTACAATTGAACTCGGGTGGGGGCTCTTTGCGGGAATCGTATGAACGGAGCATGACAGATGACCCATTTCGGGTGGTACCTTTGTAGAGAGCGGTGACCGCGCTGAAGAAGTCAGTAAAGTCCATAGGATAGTGGGAGCGCAAGGGGCCATACGTTTTGGTTCGATATTCCCGATTGTCATACAATAAAGCATCCGGGTTCCCCCACCGCAAGCCGTTCACAAATGTCGAATTGCGATGACTATGGTGACCGGACGAGTGTGTTGTACTGGTGGTGCTGAAACTAGCGCGACTGCCCGAGCGCTGCGGAATGGCGACCGCATTGGGGCTATAGGGGGCACCGGCGAGTGAGTTGCGCGCGCTGCCGGGGGTCATGTCATTCCCCTCGGCCTCGAAGACGGTATGTTCACGAACGCATTCGCGAATGGCCTCTTCGAGCCTGGAGGCCTTGAATAAGGTGGAACGGAATGGGATGCCGGCAATGGTTTTGTCGGTTTCGAAGACCCGGCGGGTCATGCGCACGTAGACTTCCTTACAGGTTTCGAGGTCAAGGCGGAGACGGCCCAACATGAGGGCAATGAGACCGCCGGTTCCGGTGCCAACGATGAGATCAAAATGATCGCATGGTTTGGGAATCTCCTCACGACGAGGTGCCTTTCCTTCGCATTCGACGTAGACACGGTACATGAGTTCTTGGAGGATAATGAGCATGGAATAGCCCCGGACGCCGCCACCATCTAATTGTTGAGAGTAAAAGAGTTAGTATGGAAAATAAAGAGCCAGAGCTGAACGCCCTACCTAGCGAGAGGATCCTCAAGGGAGGGCCCTTGGTGGTATCCTTGCGGCGGAGATTGACGGAGTAATCCATGACCCCGCGGGGTTGAGACACGCACGATCAGGCGGAAACGGTTGTAGGCAGTAAGTTAGAGGAGAAAGGTAGTGCTCCTAAGAATCCTGGTGCGATGGCGCAGAAATGAAAGTAGACAAGTGCTGACCGAGAGTTGGATGAGAGATGATAGTGGGAGAGTTAACAGATTAGTTTTTTCTTTTTCTTTTCTCTCTGTCTCAAGCCTCTGGCGGCAAGAAGCGAGGAATGGAGTGAAGAATAGAGAATGACTACAAAATGATTACTCCGGTGATGGCATGAACGGCTGATGCCGGCTGCTGCGCCACGCCCCGCTGAGCTAATCAGTTGGGAATCATGGATTCAGAGGAAAGACACGAGCGGGTCTTATAGGGCAGATAAACAGTCCGTTGATTGGTCTCATGCAGCGTGCCGTGCAGGTGGCGGTGCAATTGACTGGAAAGAAAAAGTGGAACCGTGCGTATTGTAGATTGGCCATACGAACTACTTTCGAGTCAAGGTTCTGAATTCTTGACGTAATGAGCTCAATTGGGCCAACACTACGGAGTTAGGTACACCACAGTAGATACGCGAAAATAAGTCCAAGTAGTACGCGGAACTTCGGATGGATGGACTGATTTACGGGCTGTATATGTGTGTAATCAACAATGTAATCAACAAGGTCATCAACAAGGTCATCAACAAGGTCATCAACAAGGTCATTGATGAATGTCATTGATGAAGGAACCCACCACTGGCGGTACCAGCAGTAACCTAGCTATAGCCAGTTGGCCGCTTCAACCATGGGTCTTCCCATCACCAGGAACCGGACCAAGATCCCCCGCAGTGCATTATGGTTGACTGGTTGACACGGGTCTGTGTCCCCAATCCTCCTCTCTATTCCTCCTCCCTCATACTCCGTCTCGTATCTCGTGCCCAACCATCTGAGATCTCAATTGGTCAACCCGGGCCAGTCTATGCAAGTCATCCAGTCAGTCAAGCCACTGCAGTGTCATTGTGCTCCCCAGTCAGTACTCACCGTATACCATTCGTTCATTCATCCGTCGAGCGACGGCCACCTCATCACCCACGTGCACTGCCTGACCCTCCGACTCACCGTCGAGAAAGACATACCGACCGAAGACCGGGCTAAATTTCGCCCCTTTGTCGACCCTACGGTCTTTCATCAATTTCTTCAACACATTGCCCATCTCCCCCTGTGCCATCGCGCCCGTCGCATAGTCGACATTTAGACTCTGGCACCGAACGCAGTTGGCTGTCAGCAGCAGCCGCGCTTTTCCTTCCTTGCCAGACCCAATGACCACCTCCGCCCAGAAGTCTTCCTCGAAGGCCTCCTTTGCGCCAGCCACAACAATGTTTGGGCGGAACTTGGTGACATCCATGTCCAGGCCCCCTTCCAGCCGTTCCGACACGTTATCCACCGACGTCGCCGACACTAGCAGATACGGGGCCGTATCCGCGAATGTGATGCGTTCCTCTTCTTCCCCTCTTGCGCCGACTCGATCATAGACGGCCTTCCCCCCCAGCGTGACCACCAGCAACACGACCACCGCTGCCGCGCTGGACATTGACAGCGTCTTCTGTTCGCCCGTCGTACTCAAACCCACTAGTAGATTGAACAAGAGGGTCACCCCAGCGATCCCAGCCACTGTCCCCGCAGTGAGCATGCCCTCATCGTTTCTCATTCCTTTCGGTTTTCCTGGGGTTTCTTCTTTGATCACCCCCGCATGCGCTGCACTTTTCGAGGGTCCAAAGCTCCCAAGAACTCGCCTCGAATGTGGTCCCAGGTAGGCCAGCACAACGGGGTATCCGAACCACTCGCTGAACCAATCATTATACTGTGCACCCATATTATACCCCTTCGTGGGGCTCTGGTGCATCATGATGGCCAGCTCTTCCAATTGCCGCGTGTCAGGACAAAGGGGGATGTGGAGGATGCGGTTTGGTTTGGCGTCATTATCATCACTGGGGGTCTCGCTCGCAGCCGGCCGAAAGGTCACTATGATCTGTCCTGGTTCCGTGCCAGCCTCGCTAGGGAAGACAATCTCGGCTTGGAATAGGGACATTTCCGGGAAGTGTGGAACGTGCATGTTCTTGAGGGTGCCATCGTCAAGGACCTTCAGGAGCATGAACCGGCGATCGTAGAGGAAGCCTGTTCGGGTGACGGTCGCGGACGAGAGGGCCGTCCCACGAATCGATTTTATGGGGTACGTGTATAACTAGATAAACAAATGACTTTAGTCTCCCTGTATTCCTGATCACATAAAGTGAAGGATTCCAGCCCACATCGCGCGCGGGAGCTTAGAGGCCATCATCCCGCGAACGAAGGCCAGGTGACGATGATGTAGAACTAACTCACTGAGAGAAGTCAGAGAACCGACATACCTGGCTGATATGCATGGTTGCGAGATGACTGGGTATGCAGCGTATTGTTGCTATTCCGATCAACGATACTTCGAATCAAGTTGGAGCCTCCCTCCCTTGAAACAGGATGCAGGCGTCATGTTGTTGGGGGCCAACTAATGCGGAGACGAGCATACCCATTGCACGTGCTGATTAGCTAGCTTAGGTATGTATCAGTCTGACTAAGACTCGATTGATCAGTTAACTTGATCAGTTAGCTAGTATGTTATTGTTGGGTCTGTTTCAAGTCTAAGAAAACATGGAGGAAGTGTGTTTTGTCGGGAGTGATGGTATCTGATCGAACATGTTGCAGGAAGTGAGGGTTTGGGCAACAGTAGAGTACGGAAGTACATAGTAAGTTAACTGTTGCAAGTGCCACCATAAAGCACAGCAGTCCTATGTGCGTAGTTACTCATAGCTTTCGACACAATGTCTTGCATACTGAATCATAACGTAATCGTCAGCCGAGCGAGCCACGCAAGCGAGCGAGCCAGCAGATCCACCAAATGCAGCACCAACATGGATTCTTGATTTGTATACAAA